TGTCACGATGCAAACCTACAAGAGAAGCGTACGGAGCTAGTCACAACTGAACTACTGCTACTGAGAGCATGTTCTAGTGTAAAAGATTCTCATAATGAGGGTTTGGTTGTAGCTGAGTACCTCTCTGCTACCATCACTTGTTCTCATGTTCAGTGGAGTTGCTCTCACTTGCGGAAAGTTGAAGCAAGCAGATAAGCATTTACCGAGCTTGATACCAACTGACTGTAATGATAATTGTATGGAGAATTTGTAGCCATCTTTGTCTCTGCTGTTTACCTTAAAATTGTTTAATAAAAAAAATTATAAAATATTATAAAATATTAAGTAATTTAGTTTTTTAGAGGAAAAGTTTGTCATTTAATAATATCTAAGTAGTTTCTTGTAAACTGGAAGATGATGTTTAAAAAACATTTTAAAATGTTTAAAAAAACCAGTTAAGTTTGCTTTTTATCCTTTAACACTTTGGACTGGCTTTTTTATCAATTAGCATTAAGATCCTCTAACTATTTTGGGTTTTTCTTTATTGAAGTTAACACACTGTGCTATCCCTAAAAGATGCTTTATGATATTGTACATGCAGATCACACTTTTAAATCTTATTAGTGATTTACGAAACGAACCCTTTCCTCCATCATGTGTGCTGTATGTTTTCTTCGTGTTTACAGGGAGGACGAGGAGAACTGAGGCTCCAGTTGTTGGTTGGTTGGGGGGCTTTTTAGAGCAAATTTATCTTAGATGTGTTACTAGCCTGAACTCATTGAAGTTGAAAACTCTGTCATTTACCTTCATAGTTCTCTCCTGTTTTGAAAATCTTATTTCTAGTGTGTACTCCGCTGCAAGGATCCTATGATGTCAAATCTTCAAACGCACTGAAAAGTTCTCTGTCCTCTGAAACATGTCAACGGACTAGGAAACAGAAGAGTAAGTAGCTGTAAAAGTTGCACAGAACACAATGGTACATATCTTTGAATGCTACAATTGTTAGTGCTTACATGCTGTTACTGCTCTGTTCTTGTTTAGAAATTGTTTACTGTTGCAGGGGCTCACTGCCTACTTTCCAACTCAAGCAGGCAGCAGCTGTAAAAACGTGTATAACTGAATCTGCTGAAAATAGCTTTATATGTGACTTCTGCTAATTAGAGGGGCCTCTAGAGATCAAATAAATGGTTTAACTACTTCATTAATCTTGGCTTTAGTGATATTTTCATGGGTTTTTCAGATATAAAGCATCCCCAAGTTGAAAATTGACAGCATGGATCTGGATGGGGAGGGGGAAACTTGGCAGAAGCTGAGTTCTGAAAACTGGCTGTCATCTGGCAGTCTCTCTCTGAACTGTCAAGTGCCCAGATGACTAATATTGAACTGCCTGGTGGCTGTAAGAAAACAGCTGGCATTGGGTTGTGAAGTGGACAGTCTAATAATCAGGTGGCATTCTGTCTTTTGTATAAAAAGTCAATTAACCTTGTCTAGTCCAGTTAAATTTCTCTGACTGTGTCCCTCTTCTTTCACTGTTCTTCTCTGCATCCTTCTGCAGGTGAGACAAATCTGAACAGTGAGAATAGTGCACCTACCCCTGTAACGGGAAGGGGACTTGCATCTCTTGGTTCAACAGTAAGACTCTTCTGTGGTGTCTGTAGCACTGTTAAGTTCCAACTAAACCTCACTGTGACTGGTTAAATCATGTAGCCCCTTTATGCAATTACTATTAACCTACCTGAGTAAACTATGAAACACATTATTATGCCTGTATTCCTTACTAAGAATGAACAATAAATTGCAGAATCTTTGGGAATCACGTGATGATTACTTGGGACTACAGAGTCGCTTGTTGTCTTTGGTGTTACAGTGTTGGGGTTTTTTGCCTCTTGCTCACCATGTAATTATGGTGTGGCTGCTTCTTTTTAAGAAGATCGTGTTCCTGCTTTCATATGATGGACAGAGCAGGGTAGCAACCTTGTAGTGAAAGAAACAAAGAGGGGATGATAACTGTATGTACAGGTTCTCAGCATGATGTGTGGGGATAGGGATTTGAAGATGCATAGCTTAACAGGCTGAAAAATTATTACCCTGACTTACTAATTTAGTTTACCAGTACTCATGACATAGGATGAAATTCTGTGAACAAACCTGAGGTTAGGAGATTAAAGTTGTCTTTTATGGGGTTTGGGGGGTGCTAGTGTTTCAGACTTCCTTAAATCTCTTTCCTGTCACAGTGCTTATGAGCTGTTCATTCAGAGTAATGGTTATGAGAAAGTACAAGGGTAAAACCCATCCTAACCTCGTACTTGCCTGCCCTATGTGTGGGAGAGAGATGTTTCCTTCTTATTTTATGCGTATCTTTAATAGTATTGTCTATATGAAGGCATCCACTCTTACATTTAACTGTGTTGTTAAACTAGTATGCAGCTAGGGATCAGTTTAAATATTTCTAATAAATCTGTTTTCAAAAGTCAGCTAATAGGATTCTGAAGCCTAAAAAAGATCTTATCCTTATGAAAGAGAAAAAGAAACAGAAGACACTGGAGAAGGAGGTATGAATACATTATGTGAGTGCAACCATGTAATTTGTTTCCCACTTACCATTACAAAAAATACAAGCTGGTAAAATTAGCCTCTCTTGTATAACATAGCATACAAGTAGTTTGCGAACAGCTCTGTGCAGAGGAGAGATTATCAAATGTTATGATCTGTAGAAAGCATTGGGTTTGTTAACGGGATTACATTAATTCCTACTGAATTTTGAGTAGCTCTGTAGCCAGTCTTTTTTTTTTGAGAGAACCAAATCCTATGTTCTTTACTCGAAAAAGGTTCTGTTTTATTCAACAACTGTTTAAGTCTTTTGCTTAGTAATTGACATAATTCTAAAGTTTCAAAGGAAGCTAGCTTTTCCTTATCAGTACACTTCTGTGTACTAATCTATGCCTCGTGTCTCAAATGTCACATTCTGTCTTTGTTTCATAGCCAAAGAGGAGAGTTGGCTTCTGTTGTAAGTTGAAGCTAACTTTAACATGTTGTACTGACTCAGTAGCATAAAATAAATCACATTAAATGCTACGACTGCATATTTGTGGTGTGTAATGATAGAGAATTGTGATGATTCTGTTATCTCCTTTCTTGTGAATGGCAGGTTGAAGGTATATACTCTGAATGAAAGTTAATATGGTTTGGATACTTAGCCACTCCAAGAAAACCATAAACTGATGACGTTACTTAAGAAGAATAATAGTACGAAATAAAGAAAATGCCTCTTTTGTTTTAGATTCGTGCATTAGTGAGAGAGCGTGGAGAGCAGGATAAAAAACTTCAGGCTCTGGATGAGGATTTTGTTAAAATGGAAGCAAAACTGAGTGCTGCAGTTCAGGAGAAAACATCTCTTTTGGCGACTGTTGCATGCCTAAAAAAACAGCTTCTGGAACTAACAAGAACTAATGAACTACTTAAGTCAAAGGTATTCAGACAAATAAGCACATATTTGCTTTGCCTCTGATGTTATTAAGCTCCCTGGCAAGAGGAAACTTTAGTTGCTGATCGGCATTTGTTTTCACGTTCCCCATGCCCCTTGGTGGGCACAGGGATAGAGCATGTCTGGTTTGGGATCTTGTGCGCTTCTGTCTAAAGAGAGAGGGGGACGTGCTAACATCTGTCTCAAGGGTGGGTAGAGATCAGTGTTGTGGGTGGGAGTGGGACAGTTCTAAAGGATTGTATGAAGAATAATTCATGTGAAGGAGTTATGCTTAGTGATTTTATATTCATCTCTAATAAGCTGTCTGAAGATGGCATGCAGAAGAAAATGAGCAGCCTATGCATGGAGTTAATGAAGCTCAGAAACAAGAAGGATGCTAAGGAAAAGGTATGACCATTTGCCCTGCACACAATAGTAATTCTGAGCTGTTCAGGAACAGACAATGAAGGGCTTACTGCAGAACTGCGAATCATGTGTTGTTTCTGTCCTCAACTTGGTAGTTTCTTCTACTTTCTATGCTATTGCTATCTGCTACTATACTACACTCTCTACTGCTACAGAGTGAAAATAGAGAAAGATAGATCAAACAACAAATGTTCTTGATTTTGCTGTTGATGTGCAAAGTAAATCTGAGTTCAAGTAAGGAAGCCTAGAAATACCTCTGTTACAATGTCAATCTGTCGGTCCCACTGTTAATTTCTTTGAAAACCAATGGTACAAAGTATAGTCTGAAGCTCTTACACATGTTTGCATTTTTTGGGGGTGGGTGATTCTTGTTGTTTTAACAAATGGCTAATATCTTCAGAGGGATACTTTGAATCACATTTAGCATAGTAGCAAGTGCTATCGTTAAACTGTAGTTATAAATTAATTTCACTTTACCACTGTCTCTTAGATAATATATTTTTCTTACTAAATCTCATTTTTGGTGGCGTGTTTTGTCGTTTTTTAAGACTGCACTTGCAAAGCAAGAAGATATGGAAACGAAGCTGCAGGAAGCGCAAAGGAATCTAGAGCATTCAAAAGGAAAAGTAGCACAGTTAGAAGAAAAACTGTAAGTAGTAAGGAACGGAATTGACTTAGATGACATTATATCATCTAGCTGTGTTCACATGCTCATACCTTACAGTAAGTGCGTAGTTTAGGGAAAATACAGGCCATTTCCCTGCTGAGAAGGAACAGAAATTATTCGTATTTGTAACCTGGAGTAAATTTGGTGGAATGAAGTTTTAGGAACTGCTGTGTTCTTATAAAATGAACATACAAAATTTTGTTCCTGTAGTGTATCTAACGTTTTTCCAAAAGACAAACCATATCATCTCAACCCTTGGTCTTCCAGTGTGGTATGGGTGGAGTTCTCTTGGGTATGAGGTGGGGAGGGAAGATGTGTCCTGAGAAAAGAATTGTTGTTCCTCTTGGAGCAAGACATTCAGGTAGATTGGATACTTCAGTGTCTGGCCCTTTAGACCAGAGAGTTAGGAATAAGCAAGAGTGGAAAAGCATTGGACCAGGAGTTGAGATTGTAATTCAGTACCCAGGCATTTTACACAGATTTGATGGACATATGTGTGTTCTCCAGCTAAGGGTATTGAAGAGTCATTGTGGTGCCTTCAGAGTTGCTTCACAGTAGCCACATTCTCCGAAGAAAGGCAACTGCAAAGTGTTTTGGCTTAAGCAGCTGTATGTAGGAAGAGAGAGTTCCAAATCAACACTTTCTTTTCTGTCCAAATAATGTCACTTGCTGTACAGGATCAGAGTGCTAACATATAGGCTATTTCCGAGGATGATGACTTAAAAAGGATGAACTTATTAGGTATATTTTATGTCAATTTTGCATGATCAACACTGCAGCATCCTTCTTATGCCTTCAGCATTTACTTAATATCCAAGTGCTCAAATATGGGCAGAGTTTTTATACTTCCATTGGAGTTAAAATACACAAAGCTAACAATGCAGGTATTGTAATTGACAAAGGGAGGAGATTAGAATTTGCTAGCTAATGCAGCTGTTCTAGCATACTTGTTTGTGGCAAAATACATCTCAGCATCTTTACTACAAATGAGAAGACCATATGGAACAACTATCAAAAGAAGGTTAAATCACCTCTTAGAGCCAATACCAGTTTGTCAGCCAAACTGGATTATGAAAACTGTGTGTTACTACTAAGTCGTGGTTCAATGGCTTATTTCTGTTTGCTTATCTGTAAACAAACACCTTACAAGTAGCTTTGAATTTGTTCAAATACATCCATTGTGAAAACTTCTTGGTTTTAGGTCTGCTACTGAGAGAGGGAAAGTTGAAGAAAAGTCTGACACTGAAAAGCTCCTGGAATATATCACAGAGCTCAGGTAACAACAAATTGTTCTTGAGTTGGACTGGGTAAGTTAAAAGGCAGTAAAACTAAGCCTTGTTTATGACTGTTGAAGTAGAACCTTGGCAACAATTCTGTTTAACAGTATTAGAGGAGGGAAAAGAAATCGGATCTTTTTTTACACAATGGAAAAGAGTCATAAGATGTTGTTTTAATTACCTTTCTAAATGTCTCTTGTGCTTTTCTGGGCAAAGCAATACTATGGAACAGTTTTGCATCAGGGTCCTGAAATCGTCTTTTTTGGCCTGAGTTATTTGTACATAAATCAAGCTAGAACCTTTTCCTCTAAGGTACTGGCAGCAATGTCTTTTAGTACTTGCTTGTAAAACAGTGTATGGTAGGGGGAAAAAAAAAAACTCAATTTTGGCTTCCAGTGAACTTTACAATACTCTGATTTGCATTTAAGAGTTGTAATGAATTATCTACCTATGAGCAACAGTCTGATTCTAAAAATTGCTAATTCAATGCTTTGTAACTTATTGAAACTAACTAGTCTTCACAGTAATGTGTCCATAGCTCAGACCATGGTAAAAATACAAAAGTATTTAAATTTAACTAGTTCAGTCTTCACCCCCCCATCAATTTATTCATTGAGATACCTCATTAACTGGCTATATATCTTAAGATTCTGCTTATTCTTGTAAAATAGGGTTTATTAATGTGTATGCTGTTTGGTGAAAACTCAGTTTGGTAAAACAAACAAACAAAACCCTACCAAAAAAAAAACCAAACCACCCCCAAAAACCCCCCTGGATGTAGCAGTCATCTGTAAAGCAATTATAGTGACTAATTCTGTTTTAATCAAAGTGTTATATTTTATTTGTGTGACTTTGTAAGTTTCTTCTAAAAGAAAACATCAGTGTTGAAATAAATAGCATTTATTTTTAATTAACCTGTCTTAATGTGCAAAACATTGTGTCTGGGCAAGTAGGTGAAGGCAGTTTTCCTGTTGGAAACCAACAGTCCTAAGCATTTGTCCTTTGTGCTGAAGTGTAAGCTTACAAACAAAATTTAGTCGTAACAAATACCTGAATTTTCTCCTACAGTAGTATTGCAGAAACAGTTGAGAAATACAAAGCAGATGTTGCCCAGATGGAGAAGACACTGATAAAGAAAGACCAAGATATTGAGATCCTGAGGGATACCCTCAAAACAAAAGAGGAAGAATCATTTAAACTACTAGAACTTAATGAAAGGTGTCAATTGCTTCAACAAGAAAAAGGTAATTGTTAGTGCTTGTGTGCTGTTTGTGTATGTGGGATCATAGACATGTCTTAAAGCATCTCAAATTGGTTTGTTCTAAAATGTCAATTTAGACTGGTTTATTCCAAGTTAAAAGTCATGTCTCTGAGCTCCAGCTGAAAACAGCTAGGCATATTTCTAACAATATGGAAACTACCTTGAATCTAACATCTGTTAAGTCTAAATTTGTATTTCCGTGGAGGGTTTCTAAGGCAGACAGTATAGAATGAGAATTGTTTCCACAGTAGGCATGGCTTTAATCCAAAAGGTGAACAAAAATGACTTGTTCATTAGTCTTCATTGATAAGCAGTATGATATTGTCTCAGTTCACTGTTAGCAGGTTGTGCACAAGTTCATTGAGGTGTTCAGAACGTGTCTAGGAATCCTTCACCTCTTTCCTGCCTCCCCCCAAAACCAGCAGCTCAGCAGCTTGAGACTGCTACTCGGTTCTGTGTGTACCAGTTGGCTTATATGTGCTAGTATTCTGTGGAAGAAGCTTTAGGGATATCTTTTAATTGTTTTTCCCCAGCCGTACTGCTGTTCTGGTGAAGGCTAATTGCTTGATC